GCGACGGCGTGTGTGCAAGTATGCCAAGGTTGGTTCAAAGAAGTCAGTACAGCATCACGCAGGCGCTGACAAAATAGTAGGCACTCAGTACAATTGGGAAACTTGTCCCGGTATCCAAGGGTCCGTGTCCATCGCGGGATACAGCCGTTCCGGTGGTGTACCTAACAGTGTCTGGAGACTTGCTAGGTACCTCGAAAACCTTAGGGTGTCCGCACCGCATGTTCCAGGCTTGCTGTGTCAGCTTGGTGCTTGTGTAGGGAAGGGAAGCCAAACGAGCAGCTGTTCGAACTCCTTCCGTTTGCTCCCCTTGATCCAGTAGGTGGGTCTTGAACTATCAGGTCGGTTTGTTAGTCAGTGACATAGCGGTGGTGATAACGAGTAAAATTCACAACCCAGGATTGCTGGGAGCTTTTTACAGAAGTGACTTCATCAAACAAGCCTACTCATTGTGTACAGATGTCGAATATTCCACGGTTCAACATGGCCTTACTGCATGCAAGTCGGATGCAATGTGATCTCGGACCTGGGAGATGGATGGCCTGGAAACCCAAAGGTGCTTACAAGAAAAAGGGTGTGTTCTTTGTTGCCGCCCGGCATCCCGATCTCATCAGCTCCAGATCAAGCTCGCCTGGCCTCCAAGCAATGGGCGGGTGTCCCAGCCCATGCCTGGAGGTGCACACGCTTGGAGTGCCACCTTGATCGGGTCAATGCTATTCTGAGTCCGAAGTTTCTTGAGGGCGGACCAGTAGGTCCGAGTTCAGCAAGCTCATTTGCTGACCCCCACATGTATTTCAAGAATGGTTCTTGAGAGTTTCGCTTCAAGCGGCAGATGACGGGATTTGACAAATGCATCGTCAGGCCGGAAGCTCTCATGTGAGGTTTGGGACCCAGGCGTTTTGAGGCACCATGACCCAAGAACTGGGGCAGACATGGTTGTTGCATGTGGATGATCGGATGCATCTTAAGAGCCATTCACCCCACTTTTTGCGAAAGTGCTTTCACGCAGTGACAAGCCCGGCCAGAATAGGTTCTGTGGCCAAGGGATCTGCGGCGTTCCACCATTCGGCCAGTTGACAGGTTGTGATGTACATTCGACAGAATGCCAACTATGCCTCCCATCTGCGTCGCTGGGAGCCGAATGCCGGGCTCATTTCAACAACAGAGCGCTCGTCGAGCCGGTGCCAGTGCCGCCATTGTGTCGAGGTGCTGTGGAAAGCCCTGTCATTTCCGCAGCACAGATGAGTGTGCATATATGCATATATAGGTGATCATACTGTATCTCGTTTAGCATCTTTGTGTGTTCTGCACGTGAATGTGTATGTTCGTCAGGATCTTCATCTGTGGATTCTTTTTTGCAGGTGCATGTTGCCGTTCTTTGTTTATGTGTGCTGGAGCGTTTCTGTTCTGTGATCGCGTCTGTAGATACCCGTGTAACATGTAAAGGGACGTGTGTCTGCGTTTGTGTATGCAAAGGTATATCTCCGTGCATGTGCATATTTGCACGTGTGCGTGTGCTGCATGTACGCGGTGGATTCGTGGCGGTATTCGCATGGACTGATGTGGACGTAAATGGAAGTTAGTGTTCATGTGACGGCGAAGTGTACGCGCATATGCCTTTGCCCATGTGTGGTATACATATGTCATGCGTGTAGCTTGTGTTATGATGCTGCATGATTTTAGTATGTGCATGTGTCTACACTGTATTCTTAGTATGCATGTGCACGTATGTACATATGCATGTTTATCTGTAACTGTTTCATTATCTCTGTATATGTCCGTGTATACGTATATGTATTGTACCGTGAAAGGGCGGCACTCTGCGCACTTACGTAGATATTTCGATTTCACTTGCATGAGTCGATGCCGCTGTGTTTGAACTTTTTACTTCGTTGAACACACTACTCGCACTCTGTCCGTGGTGCCTCGGCAATGACCATTGCCATTCGGTTAGCGTGTGCTTTCTTCTAAGAACATTCCGTCGTACCCACCCCCTTAAGCTGAACCTAATGCCAGGCAATTAATTACGTTCGGTCAAAGGCACCGCGGATTGCAGAAAGCGAAGTGCGAGAGCAGGTAAGGGTGGGACCGCAGTGTCAGTGTCGCAGCGATACCGGGGATATTCACTTTGTGGAGCACATGCGATTTTTCGAAGAACTCTGTGGAACTGAAGGGTCCCAGGATTTTGGAGTTGCCATGCTTCAGCATTCCACAATTGGTCGCTTGAGTGAGCATAGTGTTTGATATGAGGATCCCAAATCAGGGCTTCCGCGGCTTGGAGTCGTTTGTCTTTGTGGTCTTGATGTGCCTTGATGCTTTCAGAGCAAATTGCAAAGAGCAGCAGTGTATGATATCCGTTCAAAACGTGCGAGAAGCTTTAAAACCAATTCTTGAGCAGTGCATGTCCTTGTGCTCGATAACATCTTTTGCAAAGATCGTTGATCGTACCCGCCAGGTTTGCAAGATCAGGAAAGAAGTTTCGCCTAGTAGGAACAGCTGCAGGCTGAAGAAGCGAGTTTCGTTTTACCGCGCAGTCCCACCGAGCGAAAAAGCCAAGACCTGAAGTGTGAAGTTCCCAGAAACTGCAGCAACCAGAAGCTGTTCGTTACGAGCCGTGCAGAGTCCAATGACCAAACAACGAAGAGGCCAATCCAGTTGTGAGAATGTTGTGAGTCGTTTATTCAGCTTCAGCGCTCTGTAGTTCTCAACAACATGCCCTGAATTTACCACCCGCCATCACTCTGCGGTGGCACTTCAAGCAAAATACCGTCTCCGGTGCATAGGGTCCTGCAGTTCGCGACGACATTATCTGACATGACCAAGCAACTAGGACCAAAGTTGAAGATTGCCAGTGGCAACTTTGAATCTCTTTGACAGCCACTTGACTCTTCGAACAAGCCATTGGGCAGGGCATAAGCCCGAGAACTCTGCAGGCGTCTTACATGTCAGCCTGTTTGCAGAGCGTGAATTGCCGATATACCCACAACGTCGCAGCATGAACCGTCGGCAGAAAATGGATGAGGAGCCTGACATGGCAGTGCAGCGACATCACCCGAAGAAGCTCCGAGTCTTGCAACAGATACGTGGTCAATTCCACCTCATCTTTCAGTTCAATGTCGAGTCTAGAAACGTACATTGGTTGCTTTGAATGGCCTATGCTGCAAGTATAAGAACCTTGGAACATGCATGATCGAATTCACTAGCCTCTCGAGGGTTGCTCGAAATCAACATCTTTCTGCCCAGCTCCGGTACGGGTGCAAGATAGATGCTCAGCCTGGGTGCCTGCGTGCCTGCCCTGGCTTGTCGTGTCCAAGTGGGTCAAGCCATCTTCGGATCAGAAGAACCAGAGAAGTGCTGATCACTGCTGGCAGTTGCAATGTACTGTTGGATGCAGAATTAGAGTTCATGTCCGTGCAAGTACCCGGCATCTAAAACGGATGAATAAGTGTTGATGTGGAAGTTTGAGGCTGTGGCGGGAAATATTGGAAGCCTCTTGATGGGCAGGAAGGGGCCCCGACGAAGAAGCGGTGCTGCCCTGCAGAGCTGAGCCTGGCATCTGGTTGAGGGACTTGAGCACAAGGGTCAGGAGCTTCGGATTTCTGTGTTGGAACCCTTTGAAGCTGAGAAGTTGCGTGCGACAATCAAGTCAGGGCAGGTGTTTTTTGGAGCTTGGTGGGAGGCCTCTAGTTTCCTTATGTTTCCTTTTCAGAGGTGCCACCCGTAACCCCCTGCGGCCCTGCGGAGAGTGCAGGAGCTCTGAAGTCTTCAGTCTCTCGTAACCAGGCTGTGCATTTACAGTACATCTCTGAACCGGGAGTGTTTCTCCTACATCTCAGCCCTGAACTGCAACAGACAACAGGGCGTAAACTGGTTGTCTTCTGATCCAAAGCTGTTGCCTCGGCCCTTTGCTCTCGGCTGGGCAAGTCGGTTGGAGTTCGGGTCGCTTACCGGCCATAGCGCGGAGGCTGAGAAGGGGAAAGGGGATGTGGGAAGATCGTAGAGTTGTTGGCTTGGCACTGCTGCAGTTTGTTTGTGAGCAAGCTCTTGGCACATCTTACTTCAAGCAGACTGGCGGTTGACGCCAAAATGCCAATTTGCTACTCATTGCAAAGAGCCGTTTCGAAATTCACGTCGACAGCAGCAAACCCAGTCTAAAGCAGTCGCCACAGCATGCGGTGACCAAAAGTGCTAGGACGGACAATAAGCGCAGGGATGATACGATCCAGTCTGCACGCGGCCTGACTACCGGATTGCTCGTGGTCCAACGATTGTGTCGTCCATGTGAATGGTGACTGCTAAATTGTTACTAGAGCGCCCGATTGCAAGAGTTGGCTAAGCACATCAACCGCCCCTTCAGACCAAAGGGGCAAGTCGTGATTATAGTCGAGGAGTGGTAGAAGTCGCAGTCTTTGTCGCTGCCGTCGTCGCGGTGATCTCCGTCGTGTGACTAAGCGCATCTAGGCGCTATCACCAAGTGTTGCGACAGTAAGAAGTTTGAACTGCAAAGTCTCCAGTCGATAGTGCCGGTGGCACACAGGAGGGCAGCATTGTGTCAGATGCAAACAACACCTTCGCGATTTCCGCTCACGAAGGAATTGCAGCTTTTGCATGTGCAAGCTTTACCATCAAACTCTTTCTAACATGCGCGCACTTTATGCCGCTGGTGTTCCACCCTTTTCTGGCTTACACACAGCAATGTGTTGAGTTTTGGGGGCATGACTCGGGTAGTTGGCAGCAGCCGCCGGGGCTCAGTAGTAGCACTAGCAGTTCGAGTTTTCTGGTCTCGTCGCCACATTTGCATTAGCCAGTGCAGCAGCCAAAAAACCAGGTAGGAACACGGCGAAGACGAATGCCATCAGGAGTAAACCTGTGAGTAAACCGGGACATTGTCAGTGTACTTCTGAAGCTCCATGCACGTCAATCCGAGAAGTCCCGCCCTAACGACAAGTTTGAGTAAGAGCCACTTTAGCTCAGTGACTTGGAACTCTGTCGCAGGCTGTCCCATGTACAACACGCCAACGCCGTACCCCCGGCCGTTTATCACGTACGACGACATGTGTATGAACCAGGCTGCAGACCAGGTACCGTGTGTGTAGGTTGGCCTGCTTGCATTCCTGAGAGGAAGAGGAGGACAGACTTGCATAGCATGTTCTCATCATGGGACTGCAGCTCGTCCGAGGCTGAGCACCGCCAGTTGTTCTCCCCAGCAGTGGGCCTCCCAGCTCCAGGGAAACCAGCTTCGCAAGCGCGCGTTCTAGCACCTCTACCACCTAAGCTGAGAAAAAGGCGGCTGAGCGACGTTCAGAACATGGCCGGGATCTCGCCGCGGAAGAGGCTTCCACATCATAAAGTGCAGGAAGTGCAGGCTACTTCTTCAAAGTGTTTTTGAGGATCAGGTTCAGATGCCCGACAACTGTCGGAAAACCACCGCACAAAACTACGGCAACCACGAAGTTGATGCTGTTCTTTCGTTTGGTTTTTCACAGTGAGTTGTGAGTTGTGCTGCCTTAGCTCTATGGTTACGTGATGCGTGAAAGGCGTGTGGTTGAATCTGACAGCAAGCGACTGACATTGAAGGACTCTGGACCTGGCTGTACTCGACAGCACCCAACCTGGAACGAAATGTAGCGTGGGGCTACTACACGCAGTTTCCACGTTATGATCTTTTTAAACCTAAGGGCTTGTCCCAAGAGCTGGTACAGTAGTTCCAAGCAATGTCAGGGGGCGATGCTGTTATTTTTCTGAGCCAGGATGAGCAAGCATACCCCGATAGTACCGACAGTGCACTGCCAGCATCCTGAGCATCCTTGGCCGGTGACACCCCGCATTCTGAAGCAACGGGCCACAGAGCCGAAATTGCAGGAGTTCTGGAGCCCAGCGTGGAGCTAGCATCACGTGCATCATTGGGTCTTCCCTCTCCTCGACACTGCGAAAGGCAACCAAAAAACCATGATTCACTCCCACTGTCGAATTTATTCGGCAATAGTCTCGCGTGGTGTGCGTGAACTCCTCGCCAGCATCATGAGCACCATTGAGACTCCAAAGACCGAATGGTGTGTCTCAAGCATCATGGGGACTTGGCCCCAGCAAATCCCTCATTCTCGCGGGGCTTGGCTGCGCAAAAGCGCACGAAGAAGCCAGGCTGCGTTACTCATGCCCGGCAGCGACAGCAGATAAAGCTTTGCACAAGAGCAACCGGCACAAGCATGCAAATGTACAAACACGGCCTTGGCAAGCACGATCTCGAGCACCACTTACCATCGCCGACATCGTTTCGTATTGGCACCGAGAACATAAGCCGTGCTTTTGTTGTAAGTGTTGTCATTGCTATAACGATGGTCATTGCGATGTCTCCTTCCCAACTCTTGAGAAAGCTCATCTCCTCGCCAGGTATGGAGCTTCGGCCGGGATCTCGGTCTCGAAGAGTCGAGATTTCTTCATTCAGAGGGTGAGAGCAGAGCTTGGATTGGCCTTTGAACCTCCGGCCAGGCGTGTCTACCCTAAACAGCAAGCAGAAATGGTCATCTTCAGATGGAAGGATGCTCATGTGAACTATCAACCTATCCCAAGTGATGGAGGCTCGGGGAGGTAACAGCCAGCGACTGAAAGGGCACAGAGCCAGCAATGCTTCGGGCAGGTCATCGGAAAGGTTTTCGAATCGAGGAGCTGCCATGTCTAAGTTTCATCACTCAACTTGCCTGAGCCTCGTACAGTAAAGACTAGACTCTAGACTAGACTTCAACCCTTCAACCAAAAAGGCACGTAATCACGAGTACCATGCGAGAATCAAAGTTGCTGTCGCACCATGCCGAGGAGAAGCGTGAGCCTGTGGAGGTCTGCGAATGTTTGCGAGTGCAGTCTTTGTTGTTTCTTGCGCGAGCACCCGAGGGTGCTACCCCGAGCAGGAGGAAGCCTTTAGCGATTTTGACATGACGTCGAAGTTCTCTTTCAGAAGAACTCGAGTCATCCGCCGCGAACAACAGCATGCCATGCCACGTCACGTCGGATGGTGCCAGGTTTCTTTTGGAGTGGGAACGCGCCCGCCGCAGCCTCATCCCTATCGGTGCAGTTAACGTCGGCACTAGATATTCATGATATTCTGAGCCGCTCGAACCATGCTCTGGATTGGAGCTTACGACATCCATGAGTTCAAGTCGCATTGAAGAACTGAGCTGCGGACTCGACGTGTTAAGATCAGCACCTCCTATAATTATTCTGAGGAATAACGGCGTCACCCTCGCCGGATTCTGAGACAAAATCTGGGACGTGCTTGTAGATCTGCCATCCCGGGTGGCCGTCGCTCCATGGTGAGTCATCGTTGCATTCATGGCAGTTCCTGCGTGTGTCCTTCGTTGTCGTAGTCAATGGCGGTAGTTGTCGTAGTAAGCTGGAGAAGAAGTAGTAGTAGCAGTAGTTGCAGTAGTGGCAGTAGTAGCAGTAGCGCAGAAGCAGCAGGCAGAGGGGTAGTAGTCGTCGTCGTCGTCGTCGTCGTCGTAGTAGTAGTAGTAGTAGAAGTAGTAGTCGTAGGTAGTCGTAGCAGCAGAAGGAGCGGGAGGCCGAGAACAACGAGGAACAACTGCAGTAGCAGAGTCCCATCCCGCGGGGGCCTAGCCAAATCGGGAAAGCAGGTGGAGCCAACGGCATACCGTCGCGCGCAGCAAATAGCCGGGAGCCGAGGGTCCCTGCGCTTTAAAGGCTCCGTGAGAGCAGAGGATCCTGCCTCATGGACCGCACGGAGGGTTCGCACAGAGGCTTCCCTTCTTCAAGCCAGCCGACACTCGGGCTGTCTGTCTCCTTGCCAAATTCTCTCAGCACGTGCGGTACTGCAGTCGCTAGAAATTTTCTTAAGACTTCATCCCGGCTATTCGTGCAGTGGGGCGGCATGACTCTTTTGCAGCTCCCGAAGCTGTAGCTGCCCAACTCTACTCATCTCAGGGCGCGAGATCAGAGCCCTCGGAAACATCGCAGAGCCCGCAGCGACAGTGGCAAGGTGGCGACCCGAAGCTTTGAGTCGAGGTTTGAGGGTGCACTTTGAGGGTCTTTGAGGCCTTGCGGTTTCAATTGCTGTAGGTTTTGGAGAAGGGAAGGTTCGAGGCATTAGATATGGCGAAAGGGCAAGCTTTGTCTTGGCAAGGTCGAAAAATCCAATCTGAACAGGCCATGCGCTTCAAATGCTGGTTCTGAAGGACCACGTAGAATTCTGAAGATCTCCGAAGCAGACCCGCTCTAGGCTCGAAAGTAAGCCGTAAACATCTAGCGTCATAGGCACAATGCCATCAAGCCGGTGACCAAAGTGCTCTCTTGTGCAGTCGAGCCGCTTACCGCGAACTCGACCAAAGCCCGTCCCTGGCGCCAGCAGGTTCAGGCGCGGGGGTTCTGGGTTGAGGGGTTTTAGGCTTGCAATCAGGCGATGCGAGGAAAAAAGGCTTCCAGGGCTCCCACGACTGCTTCTGGGTAACGGGAACCACTAGCAGCAACCTATTCGAGGTCTGCTTGCACTGGAAGGCGCCTTGTTGTGCTTTGTGCGCTGCTGAACCGTTTTGTCGTACTGCCAACTGCAAGAAAGGCAGGCCCCGAAAACGAAACCCCTGACCATAATGAGGATGGCAACACGGATTCACAGAGCAGGTTTATGTTGTTATGCGACACTATTCGCTAAACCCCAAATCCTTAGTCCCACAAGTAGGGGCTTCAACGACACGGCAATCAGACATTGGAACGGCAAGGAACTTCACGTTTCTTAATAAGGACTCAGGGTTTCGGCTGTGGGCGGCCGCGTGAATATGTCTGAATTGTAGCACTATCTAAGCTGTCTACGACGCAAACCATGCTCTCAGGAAAAGCCTGCGACCCTCGGGGACGACAGTATAGCGGCCACCAGCGGGTCCGCGCGCGATTCGCTGAGGCATGGACATAAACTACTCCTAACCTTGCCTGTGCACGCGATCAGAGAATAAATGTCGGTGTTGTTCAAGCGTGCTTGTTGCGTGCATTTATGCAAGCCGGTGCGTTTAGCAAGACAGCGTGTGGAGCCTGAGACGGCATCGGTTTGCCTGGGTGTGAAGTTTCGGACATGTTTTGAATAGCGAGAAGCCCCCTCAGCCAGAACAAAATTGGGCGGTTGAAAGCCATTCAGTGTCCAAGCATGCTGCTGAGTTCCGGTAGTGCCCTGCTTGGGTGCGGCGTAGCTACACGAATGCAAGATTGTTTGATGTGGATCTCAGGAGTCTGCGTCACTTCGCATGGATATGTGAACCTGAAGTGTTGCATCCCTATTTCGTTCACAGTCACTTATGCTCTTGCTGGTTTTCTTCGTTTCAGTGATACGTGGTTTCTTCGTCAGTATTTCGTGTCAGGTTGTTACAATCGAACTCTCCTGCTCACTTCGGCCGTGTTGACACTGACGTCTATGTGTGTGTGTGTGGAAATATTCCGCCGGTCAAGCAGTCCGACGCAAGATGGTGTCGCATGACTTCGTCACTTCGCTGCCATACTTGTTGGCCCCTGTTGATCAACAGCCGACATGCCAAGTGGCTCGCGTAGCATCCGGTCATGCGGAGTCTCGGCACAGGGGCCTCGCTGCTGAGCGAGATCGCCTCCAACGCCAGGCTTGCCTTCGGTTCTGGGCGTGTCTACAATATCAACCGGAATGCGGTGACACGGCATGCAGCTGCATGTTTACAGTTTGCATAGCAAATAAGCCGCAAAGAGACATCCTTGAGGGTTCACATACGTCTTTTCGGGTGGTCTCCCTTCTGTAATCTCAAGTCCTTAACTCTGCAGTTGAAAGTGCCATACACGTATACACGCCCCCGCTCGAACGTCAGGAAAACAGAAGAGAGTTGACTCGAGACTTAAGGTCTTTCCTGTTCCCTTGCCGGTCTGTTGTGCTCTAGCCATGAAAGTTCTTGAACAGCATTGACTTGATAGGCAGTCATTGCTGTAACTTGTTTCAAGGGTTTGTAGTTGCTGCTGTTTGTAGCATTCTTGTTCCTCCCTCAAATACTTCAACTTTGCCAGATTGTTAAGTTACAACAGTGTTGTTCTCATTTCTGTGTACTATCGTTGCTAATTACCCTACTTGGTTCGTAGGCTTGTTGGCCGTCAGGTTGTTACTCGTATCATTGTCAGTGTCATATGTAGCACAATCGTGACTTTCAGTCTGACTAGTAGGCCCGCGGCAACCATGACCATTGCAGTCGTTGTCCTTCTTCTCATTACAGAGGGTTGTTTGAGTTCGCAGAATCCCTCCAGGTGCAAGAGATGCGAAGTGATGTGTCGAATACCAGACAGGACTGGAGCCAGGGGTGTGTTGAAAAACCCAGCAGGTTCAGTTCGCGAAACTACCCTCCGCCATGGACCTTTGGCGCCAGAGGACCTTTCTTCGCAGCATGCGAGGCAGAAAGTGCAAACGGAGGAATTGCCTCCTGGCAAGCAGCTTTGCCCAGTACTGTACATCTCAGCTGAAACGGTGAGGACTGTTGGTGCTTCGAAGGTTAGTCTTTCAAGTAGAGCAGGGCAGCAGGGAATGATTCGCATATCCGCATCGCAGCTGAGGCGGGGCACCCTGCAAGACCTGCAGGCAGAGGCGCAGAGACTCCAAACAGAGCAGCCAGGGCTCCCAGTCGGGATCAGGCAAAGGATGAGCGGGCTGTGCGGTGAGTTTCATGAGAGTGTGCAGCGCATGGGCTGCTAGAGGCAATTGAGGGGCCTGTCCCTCCGCAGTTCGCGACCGCTGGGAGACATTTTGAATTGTCTTGAAAGCTTGCTGGCCTATTGATGCGTAGCTCGGTTTGCAGCTGAATTCCAACCAGACACTCATGGTGCTCGCTGCACTTGCGAGACCATGCAGGTAGGACGCCAGGACCAGCATAAGGATGGTGCATTCGTAGGATGGTGCATTCGTGCATGGCCTCCGAGGGATTTTTGCCTGAGAACCACAACATGTCAAGTGCTAAGTGCTTCACGGTATGTCCAGGTCACAAAGGGTGCCTTGCTGCATTCTCCTATTCTGAATGCTCCTTGCCCGTTCTCCTGTCGCGATTAACTTGCCTGTGATGTAACAATTTCATCATCAAGATGCCCCAGAGACCCGTGACGTTGATTTTTGCAAAGCTCCGGGTTTTGCTGTACCCAGGCGGCGGCAGGCCGCAGCTCTGAAAGGCTCGCTCAAGGCCGACGAGTGTAAGAATGATGGTAGTGGTATACCTGCAGCATGGCTACATCCGACCTTTAGCTCATTGTATTCTGTTGCTCCTGCTCCCTTTACCTGTTGTGACAGCTGCTAGGGCAAGTTGCTGGCGAGCGAGAGCAACAGTGGCAGTAGGAGAGTTTTTAGCATCGGCCGTATTTGCTTCTGCGACGAAGGCGCCCGACCCCTCTGCCAACGTGCGGCTGGAGAAACAGGCCATGTAACCACTTGCATTGGCGTCCCTTAGACTCAGCTCACATCGTGATGTTTATGAACAGCGAGTGGTAACCAGTTGCACCAGTAGGTTTGGAGACAAGGTGCTGTCCGCTGTGCCTCTGCACCACAAGCCTATTCAGAGCGGTCCCCTTGCCGAAACAGATCCCCCTTTTTTGCAACCGAAGCCCCAGGCAGATCGTTTAACAATCAAGGAGCATACCTGAAAAGATCCGGGGTTTGGTTTAAGATTGTGAGTTAAGGAAACTCCTTAGTCAAGGCGTATTGGGCCATCTGGAGGGTCCCTGCCTCGCCTCCCTCCGAGCTGCGAAGGTGGAAGGCGTCGTGTCGATTGTGAAGGGCCAGGCTGGTTCCTCCCAAAAAGCTCATGCAAGAGCGCGGTTGAGGGTTTGATGAGGAGATGATGATGGTGGTGGTGGTGATGATGATGAATCAACACCAATAGCACTCCTAGCATCAGAACCAGCACCGCGCCGTTCCAGCAATACCACTAGTACCAGAAAGCAGTGGCAAAGTGGTAAATGAGAAAGGCAGGTGTTGAATGTAATAATGAGGGCAGCCCCAAAGCGTGCGATCCAGCCGGAAGCACATGGAGAGCCTTGGCCCCACTGAAGCAGCCATGTTTGTAGTGCTCGCGCAAAACGGGATCCCACCAACACCACGAAGTATCCAAGAACGATTCCCTTTCTTGAGGAGGAGCGTTTCGAGCGGCTCGAGACTGACATCACCTCTGCCTATGAGTCTCAAAGGCCTCGATGCCCCGATATACGAGTTTTTGTTGTCACTGGTTACCGTCTTCACTGCTACCAGTAGAACCAATTCTGCAGTCGTGCTGGCACCATCTACAAGGGTGGCTCCAGACGTCGCGGCAGCTTCAGTTGGTTGCACCACAGGTCACTTCGACGTCGAACAGCTTATCATAAGACGTTCTGCGATGTACGAGCGCCATGGTACTTACCCCAAGAACCAACTGCTCAGCGGCGATGATGGAGAACCAGCTAGGTAGTACCCATGAACCTTCGCTTGAACGTTGCAGGAAGCAGCTGCAGCAGGCACTTGCAGAGAACAGGCGGTGGATTGACTGGGCTGCATGCTGGCCGCGTGAGTGCTCAACAAGTGCTGGCACCTTCCACCCGAAATCCTCAAAATAATCCACACGATGCCGGGCTCCAGCCTGGCCTGGCCTCAGGCAGCTTGCCAAGGGTCTTGAAGAAGACTCGATGAGGCCGAGTGGCTCCATCTGTTTGGCATTTCTCCATTTCACCAGCTGCAGGTTTGAGTATGTGTCATGAGACGCTGGAAGTTCCAGTGTGTGTAGGTTGTGTCCGCGAGCCAATGACAGGAGACAGAACATGATGGCAGAACTCATGGAGAAGGCCGGTGCATGTCCTCGACTTCGAACTTTGCTACCATGCAGGCTTCAGGGAGGCTCAGATTCTCAGCAAAGTAGCCAGGTGCAGCTGGACCGCAACGAAGCCTTCATCCGTAAACCTTTGCGAAGGGAGAAGTGCCGATGATGGCATTTTATGTAGTAGCAAAATGTGCAGTATTACCCTCAATTGCACATAGTGAACCCTTGTACCACTGTGCAGGTAGCAGGACAAAGTACCGAAATGTCATTTATGATGGGTGCACTTGCCATCGCCTGTTGAGCCCCCTGGCCGCTAGCCGATGCTTCATACTGCCGAGCAGGTGACGCGCAACTCTGCAGCCAGCTCGCCCAGATGATGCGGGATTTCCAATTCCACATGGTGCCAGAAAAGCGAAGCCTCTGTGCAGGGTTCCACCTTACAACGCATCTTAAGGGTGCCGTGACATGCAAGTAGTGCAGGTCTGAGAGTGCCTGAGTCTCTTCTCAGGTGAACCAGCTTTCTTCAGAGCTGGCCAATGCGTCGACAGTGATTCAGGATCTCCCAAGCAATTGTGGCGCAGTCAGGGCATTGGGTTTGCAGCGCCAAGCAGACCAAGTGTCCATGCAATGGCTACGGATGATGTTTTAGTCGTCGCTCTGCTGACAATTGGGTGGCTGTGCGCGGTTGTGGCAAGTCGCAAATCGGCAGGGCCAGACTGCAGACTGGTCTGTGCTGTCTCGGCAGATTCGGCAGGACTTCTCAGGGTTGTCAGTCTTTAGTCTTTGGTTGTGCAGTCGGTTGCTTCGTCAGATGACCAGGCCTTTGTTGCGGGGTGCTTGTGTCGTTGTAGGTGCGCGAGTTTAGGCGACAGCTTCGATGCAGGATTTTAAGCTTTAAGCTCCCTGGATTGTGCGCATGAGACTGACATGAAAGCCGTTGGAGCCGGTGCGGACATCGGCTGAGCCAATCGCCAATCATGGTTTATACCCTGTTCAGTTTGTTGTCCTTTTCTTGTTGAAGTGATGCCTGCACCAAGAACCGGTGCTTTTGCATGCCTTTCGTCCGTTCACTCCGAGAATTGAAAGAGGCAGAGGTTCAGAGGTGGCCTCCGACCAAAACGATAATCCAATTTGCTGCCAGGCAACGTCACTTTTTTCTGACCACCTCTCTAAATTACATCAGGACCCCTCAAATGCAGCCAAAATGTCGAACGGCCCCTACATGCCAACACCCGAGGAGGTAACAGGCCTTGCAAGCGAGATGAAGGTCTCGCGCTTGGGCAACGGCAAGAGTCCAGGGTTTTTATTAGGTTCATGACAACACCTTGGCTAGGAGCAAGCTTCAAGTCGTACAAGAAGAGCCTCACAAGAAGCATGGAACACTAGAATTCTAAACCCTTAGATCCTCATATTCCAAAACAGAGTGCATCAGACTGACTGGAGGCTCTGACTTCTCATGAAGATCGCCCGACCTTAGTTGAACAGCGATCTCGGAATTTCTGCTCGATCTTCTGGGCTGTGTCGGGCTGTTGCCAGAAGCTATAGCTCGTATAGCTTAGTTTCATACTATCGTTATCACGATGTGTATTACTACTCAAATCACGAGTGACTGTCGCCATCTCGACCACTGCAGTATCATGGTCTAAACCAGTATCACTACTACTGCTGCTGCTGCTGCTGCTGCTACTGCTGCTGCTGCCCCTACTACTACTACTACGACGACGACGACGACGACGACTACTACTACTACTACTACTACTACTAGCACCACCACTGCTACCACCACTTC